GAAAAAGCTGACGAAAGCCTTTGGCCAATAAAATAAAAAAGAAGCTTGGCTTATTTACATTTTTGCTTTGTTAGTAAACTGGAATGGTTGGCTCCGGAGGCAAGATGAGCGGAATTAACATCCACTAAACCTTCTGGCAACAGCGATGCACTTTGATGTTGTGCTGTGTCAGCTTCCATGACTGCGTGAGGCTGGATTCGGCAGCGTAAGAGACAGCTATACGATGTGTTCAAGACCGTAGCTTATGCTCCTTAAACAAAAGTCTGGAACTCTAGGATGTAGCCCAAGAAGCTGCAAAGGCAGACTGTGATGGCATCATGTATCAGAAGGGAAACCAAATGTTTAATCTTATCAATTCCAGAATCAACTACACCCGACATTAGATGTGCTTAATTTAAATGTGTATATGCATGCACACCTAATATTTACTCATTTATTTCAACCACCAATTGGAAAGATTGGGCTATTTTATTTCTATCCCCAAGTATAAATGCATCTCTAAGAAGAGAGAGCAATGAAAAGAGAGTAAGTAAACGACGAGAAAATGTATAATGCCACTGGGGGAGTGTACACATCTCTGATCTCAAAGGTGGGTTTGGATTTAACAGCCAGGGCTGAAGTCTGTGACTTCCAAGTGGACATGGCTGCATTGCCAGAGCCCAGTCATGTGTGAACAAAGGCAGGCATCCATGTGGCTACTCACCACAGAAAACCCCCACTCTGCTCCTCAGAAAGAAGGCAGGGAGGAGAGCCCCACTGCGTGAGGGCTCTGCCAGGGCAATGCAGCGCCAGCGCCCCACAGGACTTGTTCCCATGACACAATGTTGGTGAGGTGGCATGATGGAAGGGCAGATCTGCAGTGGGTGGAGAAAGGGTTTAACAGGCAAGACCCAGAGTCAGCCATTTGGGATGCTTTAGTGTGCTTTGTTTTTCCACTTCTGTGACACTTCTCATCAGCTGTCCATTTCATTTACCAGGGCAGGGATGGAGAAAAACGATTGCTTTTCTTCCACAAACCCTGGGAAAGCAACACCGGAAGAACCTCCCACAATATTTTGGCTTTGCCTCACCCCAGCTATCAGCGACACAACAGCTGCTCATTTTACAATGGCTTGCTGGGGAGGACAATGATCAAAAGAGCCCATCGGCGACACACGGCAAGGCAGCAGCAAGCTAGAGCAGGAGATAACAGGAGGGAAGTGAGGTCAGAAAGAGAGAAAGAACAAGGTAGAGCTGGGAGAAGGCAGAATGCTCCATGTGGAAAACTAAGAAGGAAATTCCAAATGGATGTTTGTGAAGTTTCATGTCCTTGAGAAACATGTAATCTCTACAAGACATACACATTTGTATGTATGTAGTGTAGATTTGGTGTAGACTCAGAACCAAGTAAAAGTGGAGTGTAAATTATCTTAGGATCTAATAGAAAAAAATACCACGTTGCTGTTGAGTTGACTCCGACTCATAGTGACCCTTCAGGACAGAGAAGAACTGCACCATAGGGTTTCCAAAGAGCGCCTGGTGGATTTGAACTGCCAACCTTTTGGGTAGCAGCCGTAGCTCTTAACCACTATGCCACCAGGGTTTCCAGGATCTAATATACAGATCAACAAAAAAAATGTGAACATAAGGACTTTGTTGCTATTGTTAGCTGTAGTCGAGGTGATTCCGAAACTGCCCCATAGGGTTTTCAAGGCGTGGCTTTTGGGAAGCTGATCACCAGGCCTGTCTTCCTAGGCACCTCTGGGTGGGTTCAAACCACCAACCTTTCAGCTAGCAGTTGAGTGCTTTACTGTTTGCACCACCCAGGGACTCTCTACATAAGGACTAGAGATGAGAAAAGGTAGAGGTGAGGTTACTAAATGGTCCTAATTATTCTCTAAAGGCAGGGGTCCTCGTATTTAGTTAAAAGTAAATTAAAAAAAAAAAAAATGTATCAGCTTTACGATGATCTCTAGTATGTGGTTTTATCCCCTGTGACCAAATTCACACAAATATGTTTAATACTATCCAGAGAATAAGGATATGGATCTTATGGAAATGCTGATTTAAAAAAAAAAAGAAGAAAGGAAGGTCACGGAGGCTAGGTGAAGGCAAACAGAAGACTATATATATATATATATATATATATAATCTCCAACAAAAACCTGTCATAAAATTTTTTTTTAACAAATTCCCTTAAAAAAGCACCATATAAAAATTCTGATTTGAATTTATATAAAAAAATTCTCATTTGAACATATATTTGCATCTCTAGGCTTAGCTATGGGAATAGAAAGCAGAGAAATTCAAACCATGAACTACTCCAAAAGGGTGAGGCCAAGGTTGCTGACCACTCCCTGGCTCTTCTGTGTGCATTAGGCAAGGGTGCCCCTTGCTGGGTAGAGGAGGCTGGATGTCAGCGCTCAGGGGCCTCTCAGCACCCATGCCCGCCGTGCAATGAGCAATCAGTTCACTCCATGCGGTGGCAGCCCCTCCCACGGCCACAGAGAAGAGGAAAAGGGAAAACTGAGAGAGAACAGCATTGATCCCATTTAGTTGATGTGGTTTCAATACATGCAAAAAGGGTAAGAAACAATCCAGGTCCTTAAACTTCATCTATTGTTCAATTTTATGCTAGACTCCTGCCAGTCACACAGAAATCAGTTTGCCTGTGATGTGAGTGAAGCGGGGGTTCACTATCCAGCTACAATGCTTATGTGTGGAGACAACAGCTAAGATTCTGTTAATCTCTGGGATACAGTCTTGTCTTCCGTCTTCTTAACGTTTTCAGGCCAAACCCTCGAGGGTTTGGCTTATCTTTTTTTTTCAAGTTGGAAGAAAAATAGGTTCAACTTTGCAAAAATGGTGTCCCTGGGTGGTGCAAATGGTTAAGTGCTTGACTACTAACCAAAAGGTTGGTGCTTTGAACCCACCCAGAGGCACCTCAGAAGGAAAGCCTGGCAATCTGCTTCAGAAAAATCACAACCTTAAAAATCCTTTGGAATATAGTCCTACTCTGCAATGCATGGGGTCACCATGAGTCAGAATTGACTTAAGGGCAACTAGTTCAGTTTGTTTTCTTGTGAAAATATATTACACTTTTCTAGCTAGTTCCAGTGGTCCTACTGAGTATCTTTAGTAAACACTGCCAATCACCACTGGAAACTTCTATATACATGTATTCTGAATTGTACAAAATCACCACTGGATGAAGAATCAGAAGACTTGCTGCCAAAATGAACTGTACTACTGTGGACAGTAACTCCCACAGACAAGTCTCTAGGTCTCAGTCTGAATAACAACAACTCTAATTGCCATCATAATAATTAGCACTGAATGCTTACCATGTGCCGGCTTTGTATTAACACATTTAATCTTTACAATAACCCTGTGAGATGTGGTTATTATCTTTACTTTATGGATGCAGAAACAGACATAGAGAAGTTGAGAAGCTTGCCCAAGGTTACACGGCCACCAAGTGGCTACAAAAGAGGAGTGGGATCAGATGGTTACGGACATGCATCCAGTTTACAGGGGAGAAAGATGAGCAAACACCAAAATTGCTAATAAGATTTTCTAAGAGAAATAAGCACTAACATTAAGAAATGATCTATGTTTAATGTTTTATATAATTCTATATTATATAGCTTTATACTCAGCAAAAATAGTTAAGAATTTACTTGAATACCACACCATGGAAAAAAAAAGTAGAACTTTTAGGTAGAGGTGTAGGAGCCCTGATGGCGCAGTGATTGAGCACTTGCCTGCTACCCAAAAGGTTAGCAGTTCGAATCCACCAGAGAAAGATGTTGCAGTCTGCTTCCGTACAGATTTACGGACTTGGAAACCCTGTGGGGCAGTTCTACTTTGTTCCACAGGGTTGCTGCGAGTCGGAATCTGACTTCACAGCAATAAGCTTTCGCTATAGGGGTTACGGTAAGGAAGGAACAGATAGGTAAAAACAATAGCTCTGGTAACACTCCAATTCTTAAACTGGACAGTGGGCCAACAAATATTCATTTGACGGTTACGATTCATAATTAACATGCAAGTAAGTTTGTGTGTGTGTGTGTGTATCTGTATATATAACTTTCTATAATAAACATGTTTTGAAAATGCAAAAGTGGTACAATGGTAAAACTACCATCTGTGATTTTGAGATGATTTAATTAACAGAAAATTGATTAGCAATTCAGTATCAGCTCTGAAATGACAGTAAAAGCTGCTTTCCGGTAGCCACCTGTATCATGTTAGCAAAAGATACACAGAAAACAATTCCCTGTAGTTTGCTGATAAAGGCAAGCCAGTTACTTGGTAGGCATGAATGGATGAAGTCTGATACAGGGCAGCTATTAAAGAATGAAGACGAGGCCACTGAAAACAAATAAATAAATAACCCTAATTACACTATAAAAGAAGCGTCCAAGATTCAGAAGATGTGTGACTACTGGAATAATCCAATACATGAGTTAACTGGAACATTAACTGCCTGCATCAAAAAGAAGGTAAGAGTTTATATCAGTAATAAGGGCTTGAATGTGTGCTGGCAAGTTAACACACTGGTAAGCATAAATCCTAAGGCATATTTCTGAAAATAATGGCTATGGTATATACGTGTATTAAGATAGAACCATTAAAAAAAAAAAATAGGCCAATACTAGTCAACAATCTCTTTGCTAAGTTAATTTAGTAGCTTTTATCAACAGATGATCTTATTCAGCAAATCATTACAAAAATATATGCTGGCAAAATAAGTAATTTTGTGGTTCCAGCATAAATTGAATTAAAAGTGCAAACTGAAAGTATCCAAGGAGCTGGTGATTTTATTAATCGGCAGTGATATCCACTGGTTGAGCATCTTTAGGAACGGGGACTCTCATGCTTTCGTGACAATTCACAAAGTTGTACTCCTAACTAGGTTTTTTACTAATCAAATAAAGGAATGGCATGTATGCTGTTGATCCGTCCTAGGTCTGCCTTCATTACAAAGTAAGATATAAAATGATTAAGAAATGGAATACCTGGAATACTTGCAGGAGAGATTGGGCCAGACCTTGACTGGTTGCTCCCGACAGGAGAGCCGACGGGAGAAGGTGACGGGCCCCCTGGGATGCTGGAGAGGTGGGGGGACGCGTGAGGGGAGAAGGGCGACTGTGCCGGGTTGCTCTGATCCCCCTGGCTGCTCGTGGACCCGGATGCGCTAACTGCCGAGCTCAAAGTTGCTTCTGTTCCTGTAGGGAGGTCATCAATGGAGCCAGACAGGTCCTGAGAAAGAAAGAAAAGGTGTGTGAGTAAGACGTATTTGGGGAAATAATGAGAATGCTGACACAATGTGAAAACTGTAACCAATGTCACTGAACAATACGTACAGAAATTGTTAAATGGGAACCTAATTTGCTGGGTAAACGTTCACCAAAAATGCAATTAAAAAAAAAAAGTCTTTGGATCAATACTTGATCAAAAGACTATTTAAAAATCCTAACAATGGCCCCTTCAGAGGATGAAGTGCTTCTGGATGACATCCAAAATACACAGAGCATGGCTGCCTGACATGGGAAGACTTTAAGCAGGTCTCACAGGGTGAAGCCACATGAACGTGGCATGTCTTGTTGTTGTTAGCTGCTGTCCAGTCGGCCCCTGACTCATGGGGACCCCATGAACAACAGGATCAGACTGTGTGATCCACAGGGTTTTCATGGGCTGATTTTCAGAAGTAGACTGCCAGGCCTTTCTTCCTGGTCTTAGTCTAGAAGCTCCGCTGACACCTGTTCAGCATCAGAGCTGCACACAAGCCTCCACTAACAGACGGTGGTCGCTGCGCATGAGGTGCACTGGCCAGGTTCAAACCCAGGGTCTTCTGCGTGGAAGGAGAGAGAATTCTACCACTGCCCTCTTTTCTAAAGTATAGCTGGAAAACCTCACAAAAACAAGAATGTTATAGAAAAAGAATGTCTTATGCTAAAAAAAAAAAAAAAAATTTTTTTCTAAGTAAAATATAATCTTCAGCAATCAAACAATTGTGGTCATGAATAATAACTATAACTGAAACAGGGTAGACTGAAAATATTACCCCTAGAAACAGCATCACCAAATCTCCCGGATAAAACTGGGCAAATCCAGAGTAAATTTCAGAATTAAGAGATAAAATATATAAACATTTCTGCTCAGGGCACATGAGATAAACATGCTTTTGCACGTATATAGCTGGTAAAACATTATATTTAACTTGGTTATTGAGTTCAACAATAATTCTATTCAGACTTTCCAAATTGAACACAACTTTTTGTGAAGCCAGGTAGAAACAGAAGCAGGTTATTAAGCAAATAACATGCTACATACAATGCAGAAAGGAGTCACACTTCAGCAATCAAGGCAATTATCTGAGTTCCTCAAAATAAAACTTGAGCTAATAGATGTGTACCCAGAGACACACACTGATGAGCTGAAGGAGAAACAGGACAGGGCTGCAGTCGGCTCCTCTCCCACCCAAGGCTGAAAGCTGACTCCTGGCTTCTCACTTTCTCTAGTGGGGTAGGGGTGGGGTGGAGAGTAGTGCTGGACAGGTTCCAGATAATTCTCTAAGTATATGCCTCCAAGGGATCTCCTTGCTAACCTGATGTCACCAATTCCTAACAGTGCAAAGGGACATACCTGCGGGCATTCCTTAAAGCAAGGGAATGCTAACTATGACCTGTGGGCCCCTGCTGTTTTTGTTCACCCCAGAAGCTGTACATTTTTAAATGACTGGAAAAAATAATTAGTTTGTGACACGTAAAGAGTATAAGAAATTCACATTTTGGTGTTCATACAGCCTGGAATGCAGGCACCCATTCCTTTAGGAATTGTCTATGATGCTTTGGGGCTACAGAAGTAGAGTAGCTGTGACAGAGACCATATGGCCCACAAAGCCTGAAACGTTTACTATCTTCCTGTAGAGAAAAAGTTTGTCAACTTCTGCTTTAAAGAACCAAGGTGGACCGGTACTAGGACAGTCTCTATTGCCTTTGCCTCTTCCTTGGAGGAAAAACACGAATCAGACAGGCCTCAGCTGAATTACACAATGACCACTATATACATCGTAATTTATACAAGCTTTAATGAGAACTGGAACTTACTCTATTACCACAACCACCTGAAAAACATGGATTGAGAATCAGATATAATTTTTACTCTTTCTGAAGATACCATAGTAACTCAGGAACCCACCTGTAAGGATGGGTGGTGGGCTCTCCATGTTAGATGCATTATATAATACCTAATAAATGTGCATTACTAATTAAAAAAGGGTCCATCAGACAAGAATTAGTTGGGACAAAACATGCTTTCCATGCCTCTTCAGAGAAAAAAAACATGGTAGATAACTAGATATAAAACCATTTTCTTCCACCATACTATATATGGAATTAAACATAGAAAAGACACCGTAGAGTCAATTTAAAAAAAAAAAATCATTAATTGTAGTTAAATAATTTTATGTAAACCTTCTTCATAGAAAACAAATTGTTACTTTGAAATTTCTGTAATTCTCTGCACGACCTACAAATCCCTTCCCTGCCCTCCCTTAAAATTCTACGTTATGGCTGAAAAAAGTGCCATGGATGGGTGTTCAGAGAGCTTCCTTCAAGCTGCAAAGGCATCAAAAACATTTCCGTTATTCAACAAGCTGATCAAGGAAATATCAAGAGAAAAATATAAAAACGGTGGCCGTCTTACTGTTCACATGTCATCAGAATTTCAGTGCCAACTAGACCTCAGCGTAACAGAAGAGTGATAAAAAAGATATAATTTCTACATTATTGTTATACACACACGTAACTTTTACATGTAAATTATATAGAAATATTCCCACTCTGTAGATACTTAGAGTATCCATATGTATAGCTATCTTAAAACACGTTAATAAAAGAAGTTCAACACTGGCTTAAGCATTCAGCCTAGTTAACAAAGAAGCTCTGTAACTAATACTCCTCTTGAGGACAATTTAGTCAGCAGGGCACCAACTCTATTCTTCTTTTGTAAGTACTATCAGATCTATGATGGCTGTAAAGAACTGAGAGGCCCTACTGCATGCATCTCATTCTAACCAAGGCACCTTCAAGCTACAGTGCTTCCATTTATCTTGCTGCAAGGCTGCAGGTTGAGGTCATTGCAGGGAGAGCTCCTGTAAGGGGATGGAGTCCCCACACCCAAGGCATTCCTTAAATCCGTCCTCTTGTCTGATGGAGTGATTGGGAAGGCAAAGAATGACTTCACGGGCTCACGCATAGTAACTCACCATTTTGTCATCACAGTCTGATTTGGTAAAATCTTGTTACACAGTTGGGTTTTCAAAATCTGACATCACTCAGAATACTGAATACTTCCCAGCAGGCCAAAAATAATTCCTACTATCAATAGTTAATTTATTTTAAAATTCACTGCCTTTAAAAAAAAAAAAAAAGGTTTGTTTTACTTTAAAACTTAATTTAAATGAAAGTTCCTTGCAAAGAATTTCCCTCTGTAACCATCTTCCTCTACTTTCTGCATATGTAAAATTTTCATTCTAACCCAAGTAGTAAGTACAAGAGGTTTCACCGTGCTTGGAATGAAATGTTACCAGGGAGGAAGAACAATCTTAGCTAACTCTGTCAAGAGAGAAACATGAATTAACATACAGCACAAACATGTTACCAGTTCAACAAGGTGGGGCCACCAGGTGGGGGAGGGCAATGAGAAGGAATATATACTACTGTCAAGAAGGTACGCAGGGAGAATTTTTAAAGCTCTACACATAAAGAAAATACATGTACGACATTCAGTATAAGCATTCTCTTATATCTCTATACTGTATATGATCTTCCCTGAATATACTTTATATTAACATATTATGACTTGTTATATCAAAACATGGTTGGTGCTTGACTGCTATCTTAAAGGTTGGTGGTTAGAACACACCCTGTGGTACCATGGAAGAAAAGACCTGGCGATCAGTTTCTGTTAAGATGACATCCAAGAAAACCCTATGGAGTAGTTCTACTCTGTAACACATGCGGTCACCATAAGCTGAAATCAACTCAATGGCAACTAACAACATCGTTATCAAAAGACATCTTTGGTTTTGATGGTATTCAATTTATCGTAAGTTAGGTTACTAAAAAGCATAAATTCAGTCAATACTGGTGTTGTTTTACTGTCTCAAAAAGTAGGGACTAAATGAGAAAATTTTAATCCCTTGCTTAATTAAATATGCTTTAGTTAAATTATGCCTTTTTTTTTTTTTTAAAAAAAAAAAAAGCAGGTCAACTTCCAACAACTCTAAACTATGGTTCTCAATACAATTTAGTTTATGGTAAAAGGTCAGTCACTGACAGAGAACTGCAAAGCACTGCAAACATATGCGCATTTCTTGCAGAGATGTGTCCCCCGAGAGCAAGAGGATAAACACTGAACTAGAAAGAGAAGATATTTCAATCACTGAGACTAGTTCAGGTCTCCTGTTTAAGGATTTTAATAGGATACAGTTAATGATTTCACCCTGTGACTTCCCAGGGGTTTAAAGCAGAGGTTAAAATGCTAGTTCAACGGTCTAAAACTAAACTTCGCGTCTCTTAGGAAGCGGAAATAGCATCTTGTCTCTTTTTCAGAATATTAAGTGTCATGGACTGAATTGTGTCCCCCCAAAATAAACTTGGTTAGGCCTTGATTCCCAGTATTGTGTGGTTGTCCTCAATTCTGTGATTGTAATTTTATGTTAAAGAGGATTAAGGTAGGATTGTAATACCCTTACTAAGGTCACATCCCTGATCCAGTGTGAAGGGAGTTTCCCTGGGGTGTGGCCTGCACCACCTTTTATCTTACAAGAGATAAAAGGAAAGGGAATCCAGCAGAGAGTGAGGGACCTCATACCACCAAGAAAGCAGTGCCAGGAGCAGTGCATGTCCTTTGGACCCGGGGTTCCTACACAGAGAAGCTCCTAGTTCAGGGGAACATTGATAAGAAGGCAAATAGAGAGAGAAAGCTTTCCCCTGGAGCTGATGCCCTGAATTTGGACTTTTAGCCTACTTTACTGTGAGGAAATAGACTTCTCTTTGTTAAAGCCATCCACATGTGGTGTTTCTGTTATAGCAGCACTAGATGACCAAGACATTAAGTATAAAATTCAGGTGTGTGGTTTTTGTTTTTCTCTCTCCAACTTACCCCAAGTGTCTTGAGGGTAATGACTCCATGTGCCAGGTGTGGTGCTATAATAGAGAGGATGGATTTCGCTGTTCACTAACCCCTTGCCG